TAGGTCAGTTAAGAGTAAGATGTCCCTTTACTTTGTTAAACCTGAATCAAAGTTTCTAAGCGAGTATTGTGCGAGGAGTACAGGGGTCAGTGAGGAAGGCATCAAGTCTTTTCATCAGCGAAAAATGATGCTATAAAGCTTGAGCTCCTTCGAAGGCTCTCATGTAAAAAAGTATGTTCTGCTAAAGGTAAAACAGAAAGAAAACCAGACTACCTCCCTCTCATTATTCATCACAATTGAATAATCAGAGAGATACACATATTTGACTGGCTATAGCATATTTTGGGGTTTGTTTTGATTTTGGAAGACCTAGTTAACCAGGGCTTTTGATTTTTCAGTTTCAAAGGACTAGACTCCCACTGACCATGTGAATCCATGATGGAATATGATTTAAACTCACAGTTAGAGATGGTATTGATTATTTTGGCTAATGTGAGGATAGGATGTCTTATATCTATATTTCCTTGGTCTAAAATCACACACACCTCTTCTTAATCTACCTTTCATATGCTGTGAGTGAAAGTGTTTGGTTTTTAGGGTAAAGGAAAAAAAAAGTATTAAAATAATGAACACTTAATGTGCAATTATTAGATTGTTTGGGCAAGGGAAATTGTTCTTGTTAGTCTTGTTACTAGAGAGCAGAAGATGGGTCAGACCACTACACCTTTTCTTACATTCTGTTGCATCGGAATACCTTCAATACCTCAGAGATGATCCTGCATACATATTGCCTTCCAAAAGTATGATATTCACAGATGGTGGAGGTCTCATAAACTGGAAATGCCTTCCCTGTTATTCTCAATATGTGCTCCTAAAAAAAAAAAACAACTCGCCAAAAAAAAAAACCATTGTGGAGAACAAAGGATTGCTGCACCTTCTCCTGCTACTGGGAGCACACTAACAGCCTGCAGCTGTGATAGCTGGAGATTGGGGGGGAGGGGGTGAAATCGAAATTTGAGTGTCTTTTTCCTTTCCACTGATCTCAACAGCTGCTTATGGAAAGGATGAGACAAAGTTCCGGTATTTGGCCACCATTAGCTTCTCTGACAGGTTCATGTAAATTCAAATTCAATACTGACTTTACAAAAAAATAATTCATTCCAGTTTTCCAACCAAAACCTCTGCATTATGAAGTCAGTTTCTGTAAAAAATATTATGCTTTATTATATTTGAAATTTGGATGATATATCATGTTTTCAAGGTGGCATTCTTTATCATATTGTTTTCAAGGTGGCATTCTTTAGCATCTCCTGCATATAGGAATCCATAGCTCTGGAGATTTTCAGTCAGGCTACTGACTCTTACTTGATCCAGTATCTTATTTTCCATTAAAGTATTTCTAAAACTGCTGAATGAAATAATGCTTTTATTCTCTTTTTACATAGTAAAAAGAAACTGAATGTATAGTAGCTGTTGCAGTTATCTGCTCTTCTGTTTCTAGACTGTTACAGGACTCTTTTATCCACTTCACAGAGACCCAGCCTTCTTGCTTTGTGTAGTATGCTATATGACAGTTTTATATTTAAAAAATAATACAAATATTAAATTATTAAATTATTAAATTATTAAGATCATAATTGAAGTATATCAGTGAGATGAAACTGCATCCATCTTTATGATAAAATTGAATGTTTTTACCACACAGGTTTCTCTTTAAAAGGTTACTCTTTAAAAAATAAATTTTGTATGTGTTGTATTTAAAACCCACAAGTGAAGTGTCTCTGAGAGATAATCTCTGTTAGTTTCAAATTTGAAGGTAAAGAAATTTGCTGTTTCTATACTTATTTATGCTGTGAATTCAAGTAGGAACTGCTTCAAATGGGAGTCTCATAAAAGAAAAAGCAGCTTCTCTATTTTAGAGAGTAGTGTGGGGTTTTAATTTCCTTTCCAACTCTGGAAAAGGGCTATAAGAGCCTGAAATGACATTCACAGAATTTTTAAGTGTCAGTCCATCTTATCTTAAGATAAAAACCCTATAGACACTGAACTTTCCTCCAGTTGCTTCACAGTATACAACAAATGGAGGTAATCTGTTTATTTGAGACAGGTGTTAGTTAGCTCAAACAGACTATATTGGTTGCTCAGGAGCTGTCTATTACTTTCAGTGTGTGTCAAGAATGAGACTGCTAGTCATTTAGCTATTTATTTTAATTTAGCTAATTTATCTATACCAGCAGTCTGTTCTGACCTGAGTTTGGTAGAAAAGCTGGTTTAAATGACTCCTGTTACTGCAAGCTCAGCATATCTTCATGAGAATATTCAGTCTTAATTGAATTTGTATAAATAAACATATAGGTATGTGTATGTGTGTGTTAATTTGCCTTTAGAGAGTGATATTTCTTTACTTAATGTCTTTATTTAACAGTTTCCTATGTAATTTTAAGTTCTCATGCTATAAATTATTATCTTCCAATAATTTTAGCATTATTTAATGATTAGCATTATTTTATCCAGTAATTACAATTTTTTCATTACACAATTCTTCTTTTGAGTCCTTTCCTCTCAAAAAGAAAGCTTCATAAATAGTGGACTTTTTGGTCCAAAATCTTCTATTGTTGTTGTTGTTATTTTGCCAATTAAAATATTTTTCAAGCTAAATCTCAATTATTCCCATGAGTGTAAAGGAAAAGGTATTTCATAAGTAAAGAGAAGATATTTCCACCATTATTATTTTATCTAACTCCCAGCACATTAACTCTGCAGCCCAAACAAAAAATATGTCCCAAACATAAATTTTAGTCCTTCTTTGCTTCAAGGCAAAGATTTGAGCCTGATTTGTTGTATTTCTAACAATAAATAATTTTCTAAATCTTCTAATTTTATGAAAAGTTTAGGTTTTTGTTGGACTACAAGGAAAGATAACAATTAAAAAATGTCACTGCTGAAAATTCCTCTCCTGAGGAACCCACAATTCCATAACTTCTCCAATGAACCCCTATTAAGTATTGGGCAATGCACAGGTGGCTACACACAATATACAAGCTGTCTCCACAGGATATAAATTTTCAGCAAAAATCTTTTTATAAAGTAAGTCAGTAGGGAGTTAGAGTCCAAGTCTTCTTTCACATGTGTGCCTTCATTCACAAATTGCTTAAGGACCACACAGCTACACATGCATTAACTCAGCCTTTAGAGGCATGTAGGAGAGAGTCCAAAGGGCAAAAATTAGAATGCTTGTGGGTTGGGGTAAAGCCACTTAAAGAAGCTAAAAAAGAGGAAAAGGAAAACGTGCTTCAAATTTTGCAGAAACTTAGTCTCTCACCACCAGAGCACCCATGCAGAAGAGACTTTGGAAGAATTTCTACACCTCTCCATTCTTTATTGCTGAACATGACATTCTAGGGCATGGGATAGATCTCTGATTAAGGCAGTTCAGCTGCCTTGGCTGTGTCCTGTTCTAGCCAGCCTTCTCACTGAGAAGAAGAGGACGTAAATAGAGATGTTGTCCAGGTACTGTTTAGCAATAACTAAAACATCAATAACTAAAACATTCATGAGTATCAACAAAATTTCTGTCACATAAGCCGCAGCACCACATGGGATGCTGTGGAGAAAATAAGCTCCTAGCGATTACAATTTATACCTTATTCCATACAATTTTTATTGTGCTCAGGTACTACATGATTTAATTAATTTTCCTAAGACACCACCATACTCTTCCCTACCTTTTAACATAGTTGTAGATATAATTCCCTTAATTCCTTTCATGGACCACTCCCATTCAAATATCCATTCAAATGTCGATTCATTAATCTAGTCCTTGACTTGGGTTCCTCAAATTTTGGTGGTAATTCAGGACAGGAGAGATGGTGTGTTAGGTTCTTGCTGCCTTTGTCCAATTCCTTATTAGGTTCTACCTCCATGTTTTGCATGACTCTTGCTTTGGTACTTCTGACATATAACTATGACATCACACAACAATGGCAAAATACAACTGAGACCACAGATGATTTTCACCCAAAGTAAAACGTCCTCAGGGTGTACATGGGATTTCTCCATTGTTTTATTATCCACCATGTTTCTTGAGCAAAATGTATCTTGTGAATGGGCTTGCCTTTTCCTGATTCATACTTTCTCAAGTCATTAATGTGCACTATAGTAACTGTATGTCCTTCTAAAGTATGTAGGGATTTTGCTAAACAATAAGGTTGTTTAGCAAACCCTCTAGTGTTAATCATCCAAGTGACATCTGATGGATTTGTACCCCAAAAAAGGTCCCAGCACCCATCACTCTAAGTATAGGTTTTTAACTCTTCGATTAAATATTTGGTGTGTGATATGTCAAGGTGTCTGTGACTACAATAGCCTGATTTGGTTTATACTGGAGTACTTTCTTGCCTTAAGGTTTATTTTCCAAGGTTCAGAATGGTGTTTCTGGCAGTGGTGTTGGTCACATCTCAAGCTTTTGGCCATCTGGTAATAATTTCCACTGTTGTAAGTGAGTGGCAATAATTGTGGCATGTTCCTGGTAGTGTAGGCCTCTCCATATTAGGATCTCAGCCACCATTCTCTGTATGGCCAGAAAGTCAAGCTTTGCCTGTTTGGATCTTTTAATTATGGCATATTTTGCATTCCCAGGATAACCTGTGCAACAATCTCAATTAGTAATATTCACTCTACAAATGCTGCATTCCCTCCTTGGTGTCCTGATGCATCATGGATGCATTGAATGAAGTGATGCTGTCCTATCCATCAGTGTTTTCACCACCAGTCTTTAACACAGCACTATAAAGAGTGCTTAATTATGAAGAAAATTACCTCCATCCCAACCAAACACAGTGCAATAATAGATTAAGATGAGCTGACATGTATTTCTCATACCTAGCTATTCATATGAAGCAAAAACCACCAAAACATAAATGGTAAAACTTTTCCCATAGAGACTACCACTTTAGGGAAAATATTCAAACTATAGGCTAAGTTAACTTTTTTTAAAAAGACAATGGCAACCCTAAGTTTGCGACTCTTGATCTTCCTTACATTGTTTTCCTTTATTGCAGATATTAACTGTGAAAATAGTGAGGCACCAAAACAGGCTTCTCCACGGTGTTCTGGATGTTCCATCCCTGGAAGTGTTCAAGGCCAGCTTGGGCAAGCTTTGGGCAACCTTGTCAAGTGAAAGGTGTTCCGGCCTGTGTCAGTGGGTGGTTGGCACCAGATGATCTTTAAGACCCTTGCCAACCCAAGCCACTCTATAAGCTGTGAAGGGCTGTGATTGGCTGGCTTTTGTTCTTGTTTTTATTTAAAGCACCTGTTGGTTACCTTTCAAAGATGGCTAAATCAAATAAAATCAAATTAAGACAGTAGAATATTTAATATAATTTTAAATTTGGTTCTGCTCTGCATCTGTAGATGAATCTGCCAGATGAAAATGCAGCTTTTCAGAATAGCAAACTGTATTCAAACAAAAGATTAAGCATTAGGCTTTTGGTAGATATAACTCAGAGAAGAATGTGAAAGGAAAAATGTAACTATGCTATGCTTAATCTGTAACTTAGACTGAATATTTCACTTCACTTTGATTGCAAGTGCAAGATCTAGCATTAGTCACTGATATGAGGTCTTAAGTTAAACAAGTATAAAAGCAGCATCCTTATAAAGTGGGAAGAAAAATGATTACTTACAGTAAAAGGAAAAAAAAAGACTTTTTTAAAAAAAGAATGGCTTTCATGTTTTTGTGTCTTTCTTTTTCCTGGCTATAACAAAAAGGAGCTACTCTGAATTAAGAGATCCATAATGTCTTTATAACTGCTCATGAATTATTTTTTTTCTTTAATAAAAAAAAATGTTTTTCTTCTTAACTACTCATTCCATATAGCCTCAGGGAACATGATTTTTTCTCTACAAAAACTGAGGAATTTGTATTGTTTAAAATAACCATTGAAATGGTCTTTTCAATTTCCTTTGATAACTTCACAAACATTAACTTTTTCAGCATTTATACATTACAGGAGGAAATTTCCTAGAAAAATATCCAAAACATCCCAAGTGACATTTAATTTTTTTTTTTTTTTATTACTCAAACTGTTATTTGCTCTGTTGACATTTAGTGATGATTCTATCATGATTCACTTGATAATTTTATTTCTTTTTAGAAGTAGGTAGGGTTGGAACAGTGCTCCTGTTTCATATAGCATCTAACCCAGTTTGAATGCTAGAGAAATAGATTCAAACAGAAATCAATAATAATAATGTGTGACATGGGCAGATCACAGCTGTAGGCAGAGGCACATGAATATGCAATGACAGACACTTCATTTTTCTCTTGTGAATTCCCAGTATATGCTTACTGGCCAAGTGAAAAACACAAGACAAGCACTGGAAACAATATAACAATTTAACATAAGATCTTTGAAAGCTCCTTACTGTGACTTGCACCTGGATTGCAAGGCTTGATGTTATTATTATCATCTGACAGCAGGGCCAATCTTCAAAATGTCTCTAAAGTTGAGTTTTACACTAATAAAGAATCTAAACCTAAATTGTTATGGTTTTGTGGGACAGCATGGGTTCAACCTGTCTCATATGCTATAAACACGTCTCCATTTCCTCCTGTAACTTCATATTATTATCATTAACTATTATTAATAATAGGAACTATGAAGTGATCTTCTTTTGAAAGTCCAAGACTCACAAAGTCCTAAAATTAGCAGCCACACAGCATATTATCCTAAACAGACATGGGGTTTTTACCTGCCTCATCTTGAAGTCCTGTGGGACTCAGATTCAGTCAAAGGAAGAAATGGAGAGTTTCTATCCAGGTAGAGGCTTGGGAAAGAGCTGGGAAAGAATGTAAATAATTCTTTATCTCTCTTGTTTTTCACATTGTTTATAGTTATGTTCTATTACTGTGTGTCAAGCACTTTGCACCAATGCTTTGGGCTGTTTTCACTTCAGAACCAATGAAGTTGGTCCTTGCGGAGCTCTGTATAAAAGAGCAGTGCATTTTGAATAAACGGGAGTTTTACTCTCACAGCCTTCTGAATCAGAGCCTCTTCATTCTCGTCCTGCCTTGACAGTGACAAAGTCCTGCCTCCAAGATTTTTTAGTTTATTAGATTGACTGATTATAAAACAGACAAGATTTCCTCCTGGAATCTTGTTCTTTGAGCCTTACATTTCAACATATTCGCTATTAGCTAATGGATTAAGAAATATATAATTAAATGTGAAAAGTCAAATATGAGTGAATAATAGTCCTAAATGCAAGTCACAGAATTTATCTCCTAGTAATAGTAGCATATTATTTTTATTAATTTTTGCAAATGAAAAAACATGCACTGCCTATTCTATCGTGCACCCTTTATTAATACGATTATAGTAGAGATTAAGCTCTAATGAAGGTTCTAACCACATGCAGGCTAGGAGGCCTTAAAAATGAAAATTATCCTCCTCCAATCTCTGCTATCATTTCAACAGAAAACACCCTTTGCATTTGAGTCAGGAGACAGTGCAGTGAATAACTCTCATGGCGTTTTATTCATTATTTTTTCATCTTTGGGATTTTGTGGAATTGAATCTATTGAAAATACTAACTGCATTCTGATTTGTCCATGTATCATATATATTACATTTCTAGTTCTGTTTCATATTACATGTAAAACATTTCTACTTTGGTTATAACATTTTTTCATTGCTTGTAAGATTTCTCTTTTGAGTGTTGGAGTGACTAGCTTTGGAAATATAACCAATTTGCCCCATAGACCAAATATTCAAAACAAGAATATACTATTCTTTTTGCATGTGTTTGTTTCTGTGTGTATATACACCTGTGTGTAAACACACCATTATTATTTATAAATATATTATTAATAAATTGTTTCTTATTTCTGTTCTCAGACTTCTGGTGTTTTCTTCTCTCACAACTGACTTTGTCATAGAAGGCAACACAGAAAATTCATTCACTGGATGGGAAGATTGAAATTAATTTGCCACTTCTTTACACGGTCAAAATAAATAGAATCCTTACCATAAAAATATTGTTCCTTAAACTTTCCTGACATAATATGTCTTCTTGGCAGTCTTGTGATCTGAGACTTAGCAGTTCAGTAAGACAGAGAATCTGAGATATTTCTTCTAGGATTTTACACTCTTTCAGAGAATTTCTGGAGTCTGTCTTTGAATATTAGGAGGTTACCATTCTAGGAACGTACCTCTGTGAGATCCATAGGACTTTGCTTTCCCTTACAATAAAAATGGCATAATTAATACTCTATACATCAAGAATCAGAGACTTGTCCAAGCCCTCAAGTTACTGACACCTCTGCATGTAAAATTTCACCAATTAGAAGTTCAGTGGATTTCACTGTGCTTAGATAGTGGTATAAAATTTATCAGCTAAATCACCTTCCTTGCAGAGCTGGGGACCATATTGAACTCTTTGACCAAACAACTTAACTAAGAAATATCTTCATATCACAGAGGAAATGTGTGTCATGGTTTAGGGATGGTTCTCCCAAGGTCCGTGCCCCCAAACCATGTTCCTCTCTCTTTCTCTCACTCTCCTGTCTTCCTGTCCCTCTTTCCCCTAACTGGAAACAACAATGAGATAAGAAAACAAACAGTAAGAGCAGCAATACTAATGACAGAGGGTACAAGAAAGAAAAGATTCCCATGTAACCCATTGACATACCAGACAACTTCCTCGGCCATGTTTACTTGGCCATACTAGAATCCTTTCTCCCTAGAAGAGAGTCCCTTCCCTGTACCCCCAGCAATGACATGAGGTGGTATAGTTTAACCTGTGGATTCTATCCATGGCCCCTCTGGATTCTGCAAGAATTAACCATGTCCTGGCTAGAACTAGGACAAAATCTGTCAGGGAAAAGACTACCAGGGATGTGAAAGAACAGATGTAGTTGACATATGAACAATCGCACAACACAAGTAAGAAGAAGATAAAAAAGAAGATATATAAAAGAAAAAGAAAACAAAAAGAAGATATATAAAATAAAAAAAAAACAGAAAAGCACAAATAAGGGAGGAAGAACAACATTCTAAAAAAATGATTAAGAAATTTTGAATTTTTTGCCATATTGAACAAATATATTCCCTTCTGAAACTACATGTAAACTGTGGTTTAGGAATATTGTGGCAGAATCACCAAAATTTGAAATCAGCATACTCAACAGGCTTCAAAAGAGCTGGTTGATACCAGCCATCAACATGGTATATTTTTTACAATCTTTCTTCCCTAACCCAGCTTCCAACAGCATAAGTGTAAGTTTGAAGCGAAATACAGTTCCCTAGCTCTCACCCAACTTAATTCCTCTGACACTAATGTATTACATGTCAAAACTGAAGATGGTAAACATTAATTGCAAAAAAGGTATTTAATTTTATGTAATCTAAATATATTTTGTTTACTTTGATCTTAGTTCTCTGGGTGCTTTATTTTACAATGCAATGAAAGCATGAAAATTCTTCTAAGTGAAAAATTTATCCTGCCTTTCTAAAACAAAATCAAGACAAGCAGTTATTTAGAGGTAATATTTACATATTGCTGATTCTTATTTGATTTGATCCTTTTTAGTGTGGACTTGCTAGTGCTTGGAATACAGAAATACAGATGATGGGAGAGAAGAAAGTTAAGAAACCTTGTCCCCCTCTGAAGGACTGATATGAGATTCATTGCTTTCCTTCCAGAGGACAAGGAAAATACATTGAGTAATTGTACCAGGAATATTTCATGTTCAGATGAACTAATAGAACAAGCAGCTTCCATTTCTCTGTCCTAACTCACTCTAGGACAAAAACATCCAGTTTCAGGTTTGATTTAAGCAAACCATCTGTCATGGTTTGACATGGAAAAAGAATTTTCTCGGAAGGCAGAGGTCAATTTGGATATTGACCAATTGAAGGTGGACACGCCTCTGAGAACACAGAGGGGTTAAAATCAGAATTCCCAGGAGAACTGGCTCTCTTTGGTTCCGGTCAGCGTGCAGTGCAGGACTCTCCCCTGCCCGGCCGTGGCTGGGTGGGGAGGGGGAGGCCCATGGCCTGACTGAGGTGGGCCCAGGGGTGGAGGGACTGGAACCCCCTGCAGATGGGAGGGTGGAGAAATCTGGGATGTCTCCGTTACCCCCCCCAGAGTCTCTCTCTCTCTCTCTCTCTCCCTCGAAAGAGACACCAGCCGTTTGTCAGCAGCTCACCATGGGGAAGGAGAAGAGCGGGGGGGCCGCAAGGTGCCCAGCCACCTGTGGGAGCCGGAGAATCTGAGCATTGAGCCATCCTTGGGAGTCGGGACTTTTAACCCTTCCTGAGAAATGAAAGTTTTGTGAAATCTTTCTCCTCCTTGGTTTGAAAGAGAGGAAGAGAGACAGCTTGGACCCTGGGATGTTGGAAGGAGGAATTCTAGGTGGGAAGGGATGACAGAGTGGCTTTTGGCTGGACTTTTTCCTTGGTAGCCATAGACTGAATCAGTTTTCTCTTTCAAGAGAGACTGTATTTTAGGAGGATGCCAGTGAGCCAAGAGACCTGCTTCAGCTGGGAAAAGACAGAAGTGGAGCGAACAGAGAAAAGTTAGGAGGTTTGTGGTGGTGCCCCCTGTCCTCAAAGAAGGAGAAGAGAAGAAGATCTCTGTTCTTGGACCCCCGACCCCAGGGTAAAATAGGGGGGACTGTGGTCCCAAAAAATGAGAAACTGAACTGTTGTTTCTTTTCCCCCTCTTGGCAGGGCATCCTTGATGAAAGGAAAAATCCTAAAAGCAGTCTGTCCATCCAGGCATTGGTGGTGAGAGCACTGTGCATGGAAAGGAGAAGGGTCACCATGGCAAACTTTTTCTCTGGGCGGTGCCATGTGTGACATGGAAACACAGGATGTGGCAGCTGAGTTTCCTGGGGGGCCTGTGGTACAGGAGAGACTCCTGTTCCCTCAATGGGCTGAGTATCGATTGTCTGGAGGGTGGAAACCTGATTGGGATCCAGATTGTGTCTCACTGTGGTTTGTTGGAGTTAGGTGGTGGGAGGAGGAACGCTTTGCAAGGTTTTCATTTTGATCTTTGTGTGTGTTTTTTTTTTCCTTTCTTTTTTCTTTTATAGTAGTAGCTTAATAAAGTTTTTTTCCCGTTGTTAAGCTTGGGCCTGCTTTGCTGTGTTCTCGATTGCGTTTCACAGCATTCAATTGAGAGATTGCATTTTCATGGGGGTACTGGCATTGTGCCAGTGTCAAACCATGACACCATCTCAATATATATTAATGGAGACATAGAGCCCATGCAG